GTTTCAAAAATTCCCATATATTTCTTTGGGGCGCTGTATTTCTGTGGTTTTCAACAGACAAAATGATGCTCGAAGCCAACAATTGTGTAACTATCCACTAGAACAGCACTGGTCCCATATGGAAATTTGTATAGTTGTATATGCTAATAAATGTGCTTTGGTTTAAGCGAGTGCTATTAGCTATTACTAGTCGCGTAATAGCACTGATTGCACTTAATATCTTTGGAAGCCACACTCGTTACATTTAAAATTCTTAGAAGTTTTGTGTGTGAACATACTTTCTCAAACTGGATCTGCGACCACATTTTAAAACTTTTTAACAACTTTACCTACTTCTACAGCTTCCACTTCTGAAAAATAATTTTATTAGGTCATAAGTTCTTGTAGGTACTTTTGTTTCGGTTCAATCACATTAAATACACTCAACGGTTAATTGAACTTACAGCAAATCACAGTTGACGATGACAGGGATTTTTGTCCGGGGGGATTTTGGTCGAGGGATATTGTGCTGTATCTTTATTTTGATGTTGTGTGAAACGTGTCTTATAAATCCGTTCCGCATTTTAACAATGGTGTAATTATTACTAAAAAGAAGATTGTCAGAAACGTCTTTGTACCGTAATTGAACAACTTTTCTTTAATTTTTCAATTTTTATGCCAAACCAAACCGAAATTAGGCAATGGCAGAGTGGATCAGAAGCTAGGGGTTGTAGGGGTTGAGGATATTTTGCATGGATTTCCTATTGGGCGAAGATTCTCGGGGACGCTGACAGTTGCGAATATTCTGCGGGGGCAAATTATTTTCAGGCCAGTTTTTTTGGCGATGTTGAGATTTCGTAAGCTAAGCGACCTTACTTGTTGAGGGAGGGGGGGGGGGGGAGACGAATAGTAGGAAGTCATTTTACCAGAATGAATATTGAGGAGGCGAATACATCGGGTCAAACATTTTCCTCATGTTAAGATACAGAGGCAAATATTTTGTGAACGAGTTTCCCTGGCGGTAGAATCACTTGGATTTTCCTTAACATGATTTGGGCAGAGATTATTCGTGGAAGTTGAGAGATGCGACAGCGTAGATTTGCCTGGGGCTGAGTTTTCTTCTCTTGGACGTGCCGTAGTGAGGGTTTTTTTTTCGTTTTTCTTTGAGAAATTTTTCAAAAGCCCGTGCGTTGGACTCGAAAGACAACGTCAAACCTTCCCCAATCGATTCCTATGAGTTCAAGAGTTCAAGGATCAGTGCCCACTCAACGAAGGCCAAAAACTCTAAAATAGGGAAAATAATTCGTGTAAAAGCGAATTTTCGTATAGTTGTGGGTATCTTAATCACAATATACTAAAGGTACTGATTGATGGGGGTGGAGCTGTCCCTTTTTTTAGTTTTTCGTAAATGTCTCGTAAACGGCGGCCCATAGCAATAAATGTTCTTATACTTAAGTAACCCACAGAATAATAATAATAATAATAGTACATAAAAATAAAACCTAGACATACTACAACTACCACCACGTACACACACACTAGCACAAAAATCCGTCATCCTCAAAACATGCAATATAGTGCGATCTTTTCTACACTGACCATAAAAATAGCAATAGGTATCAGTGGTACTTGGTGTTGACACCCGTCCACTGACATAACTCCATAAAAGTGTGAAATTTAAAATAAAATAATAATAATAATCACATTTCAAAGGATATAGTAGGTACCTACAGGAACTTTAGCTCTTCGGGCAAACAAATAATCCATAATATCTCATGATTGATGTTGGTTCCTCAGGCAGTGCTTTTTAACAGTTCCCAAAAATCTCAGCCATGGAACATGTACAGGACCCAATCGGGGAGGAGGGGAGACGGCGGTTCTCTTTCTGATACAAATAGGCGCCTAAATGCAGTAAAATTGGAGTAATGAAGGACCGTGGGCGACACATTTGCCGGCCCTCTTGCTCTGGGGTTCACTGTCGGACTTGATAACGATCCTGCAATGAGTCTGGGTTCTTGAACAAGGTCTTCCTCATCGAGATCTTGGTCGAGGTTCTACTTCCTCAAGCTCTCTGCACAGCCCCCCTCAAAACCTCACTGCTTGGTTTCATCTACAGGTCGTTCAGGAGTCGCAGAAGCAGGTTTGAATTTCTTGAAGCGTTCAAAATGGTAACGCACGTGTTCGCGTGGATAGAAATCCTCACACTGACAGGGATCTGCCTTCCAAATGATGACTTCAGCCATCGTTTTCACTCGCCTCACTCTGAAGGAAGTAATCGATTTTGTGTGTATATTTTTCTGCAGGACACATGGACAGGCACTACTGAGCGCTTATCCAAAAGCACCGCTAAACCATCTTCCTTCTTCAGAATTACTCTTCGCAGTGTTTCTAAATCACTCTTCACCTTCGTGGTCTATCTTTCTGCTAATCGGAGATTTTACTCAATTTCGTAGGTATTTTGGACAAATTCTGTTACCTTATGTTCGAACAGTCATGTTTCCATTAAAATGTGAATAGAACTTAGTAAGACCGTCTCTGAGAGCTGGGATTACTAGTGCGACTTTTCAACCTCTAATACTAAAATTGTCATACTTCGATTGGGTTCTGTAAATTTTCCATAGCAGGAATGTTGGGGGCTTTGTTCCCTGTTAAAAAAGTACTGTCTGAGGAAGCAATATCAATCGTCATATTTTTTTTAAAGTGACAGCTCTTTTTGAAAATTCCTGTACGATAAGGGGAAAAGTTAATAAATCATCAATTCTGTTGGGTAGTTCATTGAACCAGTAGGCCACGCGAGCGGAATTCTCCAAGTCTACTGAAACAATCTGGCTCAAGCAGGTAGGTAAATGGGAGGGGAGGATGACAGGTTCAAATCCTCTCCATACACGAAAAGAGAGTCGAAGTAGTTTTTTTAAGTGGAAAACGCTACGTAAATTTCCTTCAATATATTCACAAGATCGAGAATGGTTCAATGACCATACCCCATTTTGCCTTCACGTCGCTTTCAACGGGAATTGTGGGAAATTGCAAAGTAAACTCCCAACCAGTCCTAGATATTGTAACCAAAACGATGCAAAGTTTAAAAGAAAATTCGGTGGCATGGAATAGTCTAAGAAGAAATGTGTTTACTAACCATACAAAAAAAACGATGAAGTATGTTGCAGTTTTTGACCTATGAAGTAACTCCATTTCCCATGGCTCTAGGGTGAAATGAGAAAAGGGTCTCTCTATACGATGTTTTTCCAGTAGAAAACACCGCAACTCTCGATCTCAACCAACCTACTAGCTAATAGGAATGGACCAAAGAGAGACGATAGCATCCTAACATCCGTGACAACCAACGACTTCATGGCACCTGACCCCATTCTTAACACAATATTTTGCCGATGCACGCCTGGGTGTGGGGTGTAATGCAACTTCCTGAAAGCTGAAATTGCCTGCTCCAGTATCTGCGTCTCGTGCACTAATGGAGCATCCATCGAAGACATTGTCGAAAATGATGTTTTCCATTAAAGAAATGGTTAATATTTTTATTTTTAGGGCTGTGAATCCCCCATCCATCAGTACCTACTTTTAGTATGTTGTTTAAGTCACCTTCTCCTTCACATTTACACGAATTATTTCCTTATTGGAAGCGAATCTATTAGGGCAATCTTTTATGTCAAATGTGCCTTAAGCGAATGCTTCGAGAATGAATATTTTGAGTTACCTTGAAAAACAATTTCCTTTTGGGGTGGAAGTGTTTCGAACTGTTGGACGGGCAATCTTTTCCTTAGTGGCAATCATTATAGGATAACTTTCGAGGAAGAGCTTATTTTGATATGCAAGCTTTTTGAGGCAAATCATCGGTATGTTTGTTCTCTGGGCCGAATATACCTAGCAGAAATATTAAGTAGGTGTTTTACCGGTAGTAAATATTCCTATAGCGAATTAACTGGGTGGCTAGTTGTTTTTGTGCAATTTCAATTTTGATTAAGTTTACCTTTGCGCGACTTTCTTTGTAGGAGATTGTCTGACTGAGTTTTCTTGGAAACGAATATTTCGAGGTAGATCTTTCGCGATGGAATTTTTTGAGACGAGCTATTTACGAGAGGGTTCTGATGGATTCTGGATTACGATAGGCGGTCCACGCGAGGGTTTTAAGCAATTGTTTTGAAAGCACGGATGACTCTCTAGGCCCAATATTTTTCACACTAGTGTCTCTGAAACTGGGGCGGCGAGTGTCCTAAGCTTTATATCTATTATAACTGAAAACATTATAAAAGTTACCAGTTTGACGAAATTTAAAACTCAAATTGTGTACCAATACAGGACAAACGCGTTGAAAGGCCACGGAAATAATTCGGAGCGTCAAAGATTTTTACCTAAAAGCCCATGTACTCTGAGTATCGGGCGTTACCTCCTGTATTCTGATTTGAATCCGCCAATTTCGACATTTTCAAGTCGGAATTTTTAAGTATAAGCGGGATTTCATAGGGATTCAAGCAGTTTAAATTTATACTGTTCAGATTTGTGTGCATAATTTACCCCATTTTACCAAAAATCCTAGCTTGAGGTTGTGTCGGTGTAAGCTGAAAAATAAGGCTGTAATAATAAGGATTATAATTTCTGACAGTCAACCACGAATCGCGTATTTAGTTTGGTTGGCTCATCGATCAGTATTTACAATGAATGTCTTGTTTTTAAAGCGTTGCTAAATATTATTTTGAAGGATAGTTGGGTTGAATAGTTCAGTTTGCCAATTTTATTCCATGACTAGGGATGTCGTTAAGAGTTTTATCATAGCTACCTACGAAATGTAAATGGGCATGAAGAACTACGTGTTTTATTCATTTCTCCTTTAGTTGAACTATAGGTAAGTACAGGAAATGGAAATCACGAAAGCTTCGAGATTTAAAATGAAATAAAATTTGACATGCAACCACTAATTGGCACAAAATAAGCAAATCATTTTAATTACAAGACCGTATAAATACTATTTAGAGAAGAAGTTTCGGTAATAATAGACATTTTGTTAACAGGAGACACGATGCATGAGAATACATCTGATGGAAATTCCGAGCACAACTCGTCAGGCGACGAAGATTCACAATTACGACTCCGATTGAAAAGGAAACTACAAAGAAATAGGACTTCATTTACAAACGAGCAAATCGACAGTTTAGAAAAAGGTGAGTACATTTTTCCGTACGGTGAAATTTTTAATTGCAATCGAAATGCTTTCCTTTTTTTCCAGAATTCGAACGAACTCATTATCCGGACGTTTTTGCGAGGGAGAGGCTAGCAGAAAAAATTGGATTACCTGAGGCACGTATCCAGGTAACAATTTTTTACACATCAGTAGAACGACCCTTAGTTATTGATAAAGCAAATTTCAATTTGAAAACAAAAACTTTTTTCGCGGAAATCTAATGAATTTGCAATTCAAATTTTAAGCAAAAGTAACAATAACATGAACATTTCTCTTAGAGAAAAAAAACGCGAAATTGAGAAAAAAGTTCATTCGTCAAATAAAAAGGGTGACGGTCGCCTGCCATGCTAAATGTTAACCCTCTGCTCTTTTTCATTTATTTTTCAGTTAGTAGATAGATTGGTTTTTTGTAGGTAACAAACAATTGTTTATTGTACTTCCCCACCACCTCCACCATTAATGAGTAACCGATCCTGTTGTTCGAAGTAGGGACAGTGTTGAGCACCTTACATATCTGCCATTTTTCTACGATATATTCCATACAGTTTTCTTCAACTATGGCCTTTATTTTAGTGGTAAATTATTATTCTCTCAAACTGTCGAATATGACCATTAACAAGCAGTAATTTGAATGGTAGAATGGTAACTTTAATATTGGGTATAAACAATATAAATGTGATATTTTCATCAACGTTAAAGGGCTATTGTCCCTTATGCGGTAAAGGATCGTTGGAAAGCTTCAGCGGCCCCTTTGCCGCATCTCAAAATATTCCTCGCAACGGTATGCCAGTTTGTTCTCAGAATAGTCGCGTTTTGTATACCATTGCTACACGGTGAGTTTTTTAAGGGTTTTCTACAATCAGAAGTACTTACCGCACCAATTGTTACAGTGCAAATTCACGTTAATTTTTAATTAGCCATAAAAACTAAAAGAACCATCAATGTAATTACCACGGTTTCAATTAATTAATCTTCCCACTAACCGGTATACACCGTTATGATGGGTATGGTGGATTGGATTGAAGGCTACAAATGAAATTATTTATTCACGATGGATGACACTAAAACGATACATCACTTGATAAAAATTTTAAGGCAAGCAATAACTAAAGACACGATATATATAATTGATACTGTTGACACCAAAATTCACCCACAGGATTTAAACAAAATTGGGATGCATTATTAAATATTGATGAAATTGGGGTGGAACTTTTGGTCTATTTGGAAGAAATGCTTAGTAGCATTCTGAGTTTCCTTATTAACGAGCTCCTAGCAAGTTCATAATTTTACAGTGTCTGTCCATCTATCCGTTAGCACAATATCTCGAAAACGAATGGACTGATTACGATGGAATTTTGCAGGTGGATGCTTTATCAAATTTGTAGATCGGAGTTCGAAAATTCGCTATGTAGGCCTTTTTGACATCTCCGTTACTTATGAAACGAATTGCATGAAATTCAAAGTGAGAATATCTTTAGCCATATAATACACAATGCCAAACTATAGCCATACCCAGGAGCTCCTTTAGTATATTTGCTCAATTTACTATAATATAATATTTATAAATTACACCTTAATATTTCTCGTTTTTGGTGACAAACAGACAGCAATGCTTGTTTTGTATTTCACAAAATCTTATTCAGAACGGAAATAAATTAATTCCCGTTGATGAAAATAGAACCGAAATGCATTAATGAAGAAGCGAAAGCTATCAGGTTTTCCAATGTTGATGAGAAACAGAAAACCACTACTAGAGAGTAATGGGTGATTAATAATTGCTTTGGTAGTAGTTGGCTGTGGTTCTCTCTTTCTATTGATATAAATGACATATCAACTGTCAATAAATGTTACCCTAACCGAAAAGAATACAGTTAAACAAAAAAACAAGTTAATTATAATCGAAAGAACGAAACAATAAATTCAAGCTACCCTACTGTGAAAAAATAAATTGCTTATCTAAATATTATGGGGCGACTAGTACTTTTCAAGGCACGGATGTGTGCGTTGAGGTCCGTCTGTGCGTCCGAAGCGTCCTACAGTTTTCAATACATTTAGCAGTGGCACTTCAGCCAAGAAAAATCTAGACGATTAATGTCCACTTAATGTCAACTTTCTTATTTATTAAGATCTTTTTTTGAAATATTTACCACAGATCCTTCTAGTAAAGGTAAACATATCGCATATTGTAAAAATCAGATGTACCTACGCATACTCATATTGGTGCAATGCCAACTTTCTTATATGTGAAGACATCTCTTTGAAATTTTAACCATCGATGCTTCGAGTAAAGAAAACCATGGCCGAAAACGTTTTTACTTGTTTCATATAAAAATGAGCAAGAAAAGAATATCAAATACAAATTATTTTCAGTATTTCCGATGTTTTCCAGCAAGATTGTTAATATTGAATCTTGACAGCGAACATTCAGGAAATCTAGTATAAGTCCATATTTCCATCAATTTAAAAAAGGTTAAACTCGAGTAGTCAGGTGTATTATGTAACATATGAAGGTGGGGGGGGGGAGTAGAGGGGACCAAAACAAATGATTAAAGAATCTATAATAACAGCACTAACGGGTTTACCTAGGTTGGTGAGTATTTATTAAGCAGCAGAGCAAAAGGATGCCAGCTTTATAGGGGTGTCGATGGTGTCCGTCTGTCTCTCTGTAAACACTACAGATAAGCCCATTGAAAATCCAATGATCGAGGTAATGTTCTATCGCTTTTTTAGATAGGTACATCTGACAGGGGAATGGTACATTTCGCGGCGATCGATTCGCCGCGACCGTTTCGCTATGCGTTATGCTAAAATTGTAATAGTTATTTATTATATAAGCCAATAAAGGGATATTTTAACCATTGAGTGAATTAACTTTCACGAGATGGTTAGTGTTCTTTTATCCTCGTGTATAATGCAAAACTTTCTTTTATAGCAGAAGCCATATAAATCAATGTAAAGCTTCTGAATTTAATGTATACGTCAAAAATAGCCAGCTTAGGTCCTGTCGTCGCGGTCTTTTCATAGAAACAGCATTGTCATATGTTCTGAACGTCATTTTGCACCGTGCTCCGCGTCCCATTTGTTTCATCTGTTTCACTTTATCTACCCTCACGGTTAAAGAGCAACTTAGCCTAGCCTACTCATTCAAACCTATCAAAATGTCAATTTAACATATGCTATACAATATAATAATACATTACTGTCTTACATTTAGTCATTCATTTCAAAATTATGAGTTATTCTTGAAGATATTCAATAGTGTCCCTTTTCTGGTATTCCCGAACGTTACGAATAATTCGTTTGTCTGCGTGATCCTTGTATTTCCTTAATTTTGGCGGTGGATCTGGCCTGGCCACAAGTTGTTTGTAATATAAATCCCTGCCACGTTGCACTTTTTCAAGGCATTCTATAAAATTCCCCTTTAATCCTAATCGTTATACTAAAATTGTTGTGGCATATTTGTTAAAATAATTGTTATTAAATTGTAACAGTTTACCTAAGTAACATAGATTATTATCATTATGGGTAAAGTGGACCACCTTTTAAAGAAAGACAAATCACAAAAAATAAAAAAAGTTAAGGTCAAATCGGTCGATGTCTCCTGCAAAATACAAAAGAGATGGGCTACATGAGGCAAAAAAGATGGACCTTACATCTTCTTTCTATCCTTCCTTGCGGCCTTGGTTCCACAGTTCTGGCACCTGCCTCTGTAGGTCATACAACCCTCATGTAACCAACGATCACATCTTAGTCCGCATGTCTAATCATCCTTTCTTTTAGTTCTTTTGGAAATCTTCGTCGCATCCAGAACGTTGTTTCTTTAAATCTTCAATGTTTTTCATCACCGTTTGAGGAATCGTCCAAAATTCTTACACCGGAGTCAGACCGTACCAGATGAAGATTCGCGCCTGATGGTTTTCTTCAACCCTTTTCCCGTCTTTCCGGTTTGCCTTTGGTTGTTTTTTTCTTTAAATCTTTCTGACGCCTCATCTTTATATATTCCGGAGAAGTAGCACGCTACAAAAATTTGTACAACCTCTTTTTACAGCCAGCATTATGACGAGAGAACGGGAAATGATATCAAGTGCCTTTGGAGCCTGGATTACGGTAGGAGGGTGGCCAGGGTCCAAGCGTATCTAGGCCTCAAATTCGGGCCTTTTGTACTACCTCCCTGATTAGGGTCGTTCGACCTCTCAAAGTCACTCAATCCATCCCACACGTGAGATGAACCTAAGGCTGCTGGAATAGGAGGCGGCTACAATCGTAGCCATATCGGACCAGGATGGTACTTTGAAGGCTTCTCTCGCACGGCGACAATCTAACATCATGATTCACCTAACCCTGTGCTGGGTTTGGGTATCTTTCCCTGAGTACAATCGAGGTCTTAAATATCTTTTCGTTTTAGCGACATCATTTCATTCGAATTTTGTGGAAAAAGATCTGGTGAACTCGAAGCATTACATAATCTAGTGCCTCTCTTCTGCGTTTCGGAAGGACCTGGTTGTGGATATGCCGCCGCAAAGAGAGTTCCTTCGCTTTCTTCGTTGAAAATTGAAAACGCGTTGGTGATGGAGTACGTGGTATATCATGCATGTCGTTTGCAGGATGTTCAGCAGGTATATTTGGAATCTCTGTAAGGAAGGCGTAGTCTGACCGATTTTTCTGACATGCGTATTTGTGAACCAGGCGGCTTCCATTTCTGTTTCAATTTTTTTCCTTTGAAACGTCAGTATGGGGTAGATAACCCTCTGCGTTGATGCCATATCACGCTTACCTTTTTCACTGGAACTGATAGAAGGAACACTTTTGGTGCTAACCCTTCTCCAGCTCTGGTGTCCTGTTGCAGTCCTGTTTCGTCAAGGCATTGAATAACGAAATCATGGAAAATTGAAGTGGAATCGTAAAAAAATCGAGGAAAACTGGGTTGACATAATATGGAATCACTGCGAAATTATTTCGTGAAGTTATTTGCAATCATTGGTAAATCAATTAACACGATCATGAATTCAATTGAAATTTAAAATAATTTATTATTTAACACATTAGAATCAGGTATGAAATCAATCGTAATTATATAAAATAATTGCAGTTGCGATGAGACATGAGGATTAATCAAATTGATTGCAATAGTTGTAGACATAATCCAGTTGGATCATGACAAATCAATTAAAGAGCTACCTTGATTTTATTATTTTAAATAGCTTATCGAAGCTGGGGCGGTGTATAGTCATGCTCATGGGTGGAATGGTATGCGGACGCTACACCACCCACAAAACACTTGTCTATTTAGCTTAAAACAAATTAAAATTGAAACTTAGAATTTTATAATTTCACCCGTACACATCCAGCATCTGCTGAAAAAATCCTAATATTGAATTAACCACACAAATTTTCATTAACACCTGACATAATTCTGGGTCACAAAAAAAATCTCAAATTCTACTCGGGTCGTACAATGGATTCGAATTAATTAATTGATCGGAAAAAATTTATTCCGAAAGACATGTAACAATTAAACAATTAGATAAAATCCCTGAAAGCAAGGGAAGTTTTTAATGCTTGTTTGGACATAATACCCCGCATGCAGGCGGTCGATAATTAAAAACAAAAGAAAATCTAAAATTACTGGAAGTTTTTTAAAAGCATCCAAATAATCTGGTCGTGAATCGTTTGCGATATTCAGGCGCACTAAATCAAAGACACACAAGAACACTGGTTGACAGCTTCATGAAACTTCCCTTCTTTAATAAACTGAACTTGATGCCAAAATCTGGTTTGATGCGTAAGCTGAATAAATTCTCGGTGGCTGTACGGATGGTAGAGGCTTTTAAAGACAGAAAAACCTTTTAGAAAGGTTTGCCAAAGCAGACTGCTTTGTTTACTCAACATTCGAATTAAGAACACCACTTCTACCATAAAATATCTGCTTCTTAAGAATAAACGCCGCCAATCACAATTAGACTTGGTAACGCCATTCCCCAAGGAATGCTTCCCCACTTCGAACAAACACGCAATTCTTCGAAATTCCTTTACTCTTCTAACAGCGATAAGAACACGTGCGTTAATTAAATTTCGTCCGATAACAACTCCTTATTGCAAAACAACCAGGTCATACTTAACCAGATGGGTCCACTTGTGTTTATTCGTAAATACTCCTCCAGATTTACACTTAATAAATTAAAATATTTTCATATATAGGGTGTCCCGTCATTGTTAGGAATGTGCCTAGTAAGAATTCTTTGGAGAAAGATCGTAAGTAGGTTATTTTACTTTTTTAGTCTATTACTTTGTAAACGTTAAAAAACATAAAAATTTATATTCCACACACGTCTTCATGAACTTAAATAGAACAGGCAGGGTAAATCCGCATATTTCTTAATTTCAATAGTTCTGTAAGCCTTCTTGCTTATAGAAAGTATAATACTTATAACCTAAAGCGTCCTTCTCAGACCATTTTTATGTTTTGCTCTTCCCTTGGTCGTATGATGTAAAACCGGTTTCTACTTGTCTTTCAATAGCCTCTTTTAGTCTCTCCATTGTATTGTTTTTTTATTTTTTGATCTGTTTCCCCTTTTAAATCGGTTTCCTTTTTTGTTGTTAGTTCAACTTGATTTCCTCTTAATGTTTTCTGTTTCCCCTCCTTCTGTGAATGTCTCACGATATAAGAAAATATTATTTTACGAATGACCGCCCAATAAAGTCCACGTGTCTAATATTCGGCGTTTTGTTGCATTCAGTAATTGAGCCACCTTGTATAGTCGCTATAGGGTGGCCTAAAGACATATTCTTTGACACATACGATATTGGAACGTCTTTAAATGTCTACGAGAGAACCATCTATAATTACAAGATCAAACGAACTTACCTTAAGTGACTTTCGATCTTAATTACACAGGGAACTCGTCGAAGTAAATAGCGTCCCTAGGTCCCACCCTAATTTATGTATTACAAATCCCAGATGATCGGTTGCAGATTCCAGGATAGTTAACTGCTAAGTGTTCCTTAGGCACCATCATATTTTCCGAGCTATAATAATGGCGTTGGCGTATAATTTTTTACGTAAGATGTATACTGCAATTTATTAGAGCAAAAAACGGCGTATAGAACTAGCGGGAAACAGGAAAAAACCCCGACATCACATTTCGTTGATTGATGCGAACCTTTTCGTCGGACCATTATTTGAGAAAAAGGAATAAAATATAATGACAGTAGCAACATTGTGAGCAATTTGGATAAGTAACGAACGAACTCGAAATGAATGCAGGGTTCTGAAAGCGAACCGAGAACTCTAAAATGGCGTTCGCCTGTAGACACTTTATCTAAATTACAAGCAACGTACGTTTTCATCTCTTCAAAGCTGTAAACGGGGCTTTTATGAGAATATAAACATGACCAGTTTTAGGAACATAAATGATTATATACGTACTTCGCGGAGATGTTTTGATTCGTCGAAAATCTGAATTAAAATTGTATTTGCAGTCTCGGTTAATGCTGTTTATTTTACTTTTGAACTTCGAGTTCTCAACAAATAAATCCCACTAATAAAGTCTTTTGAAATGGCATAAGGCAAATACGACGAAATTGTTAAGTAGGCTTCACGATCTTTTATGTCAAAATATTTATCATCGCATGCAAATGGTGTGTACACTCTTGAAATGTACACACAAATTGGCGGGGTTGAATTCAACAAACATAAAAGCGACGCTGAACTGAACCAATGTGATGTTGACGCATGTTTTCGAGCTTGTTTGTTAGTGAGTATTGATCTTCTGTGGTAAAAGTGATCCTGATATCTTTATAAGTTTCGTTATCCTTCGAAACGTTTTAACTCCATTAAGTGCTTCACAAATTTTCCGCTTTGAGATCGAAATTAATTTTAATTATGGAAGCGAAGATGGAAAAATGATATTTCTAACTCCCCCATATTGCGATATGTAAGAGACCCGTTTCCGTTATTTATGTAGCGGGGCGATGACATGGCCAATATTGTGTGGGCCTCGATCCTCTAGATTACCCACGGTGACTGGACACAATAACAATCTCGACTTTTTTTTTTCCTTGCGTCTCCATCAATCAAAAAACAATTGGAGATGAAGCTTTCAGCTTACCGAAACAAAGGGGGTTACCTAATTTGCTTAAATATTGTTACAGGTATGGTTCAGCAATCGACGTGCAAAATGGCGTAGGGAAGAAAAACTTCGCAATCAAAGGAGAGCGGTGGAGCAGGTGGCCGTGACACCGCCGTCGTCGGCCGCCCGAATTCCCATCAATTCTGGATTCAACTCGATGTACTCGTCAATTCCTCAGCCAATAGCAACGATGACGGATACATACAGGTACACACTTTCTCGACTAACTAACTTGTCGACGGCGCAGCGAACACACTGTAAGATTAATTAATTTGAAATTTAATGGTCCGTAACACATTAAGTTGATTCGCACGATGTCGAGCGGCTGATTCGCTTGCACTTTACAACTAATGCATGTGCTGCCTCCCCATTTGCATTTAAATAAGTGTTTATATTCAGATGATTGTGATAAACGTTCGCTTATAATTTGGCTCCCGTACACATTTACACATCTATACAAGTATTTTTTCGCATGAGAGGGTTGATGACTTTATTAATATGCCCTCGAAACAAATCACTTTTGTTTCGTAACGAAATCAAACCCCAATTCTGTTGCTTTCGCCAACGAGATAAGCAAGACCATACCCTTCGAAATACAAACATTGCCCGTTAATTACTTATCATGGCTTTGGAAAAAAAACATTAATTTAATCAATAAAGGTCGAAAATGAATTAATTTGCGTGTTCTCTTTCTACTAAAATTTGTTTCCATTGTACAGGGATATTGATTGTAAATTTCTCAATGGATATGTTTGTTGCATAAAAAATATATGTTTTCTTAATAGAACACAATTGCATTTTATTTTCAGTATTAATATATAATATTTCATGGTTGACTTTGGTGATAACAATTTTCCAAAAGGCAAGTAAGTATAGCATAACCACCACATTAATATTGTTTAATAACTCAACACTCGTTCAAGCTAGAGGTATCACGTGGTATATTTTTGAATTCAGAAAAATATGCGCATTACGAAGATAGAATAAAACACAGGGCGTTCTATTTAAAAAATGTATATAGTTTTTGTACCGCTTAGCTATGGTGCGCCACTGTGTTTTTTGAGATACATTAAAACGACTCGATGTTCATTTTCGTTTTACATTCAATATATACCTTTATCTACAATAATAACAAAAATATCCATTCGGTATTTATAATCAATATCCCTTTACATCATTTTCGGAAAATCCGGTTTCGAAAAACCACAGCCAACTACCGGAGCACTAAGTTCCAGACCAATTTTGAATAAATCCCCAAACTATTAATGTACTTTCTTCAGAACCTCTTTCGAAAATTAGGTATTGAAAAATCACGGGAGCATGAGAGAAATTTGGGTAAATCCCCAAACCATTCAAAATTTAAAGTTCCCCGGCCTTTTTCGGAAAATCTGGTTCCAAATATTCACGACCAGTTTCACGACAGGACCAGACCAATTTTAAATATAAAATGTGCCCAATTCTTAACTGAAAAGCTCCTTAGCTCGCACCAAAAATCGCGTTTTTGGAAGAGTGTAGTGTAGTGTATAGAGAAAAAAAAACATTTCCCAAAAAAGTTTATTATTTTCCGATGTAGAATAAGAATACTCAATCTATTGGAAAAAATTAGTGGCCCTACACTTGGCCCTTAAGCGCCACTTATGTGAAGATATACATAGGATCATTAAAAGGGCCTCGCCATATGAAGAATATCTTATATAAATCATTTTTTGTATCTCCGCTAGTTTCCGCAGTAATCAACTCAAGACAAATGGTACACCCTGTACATTAATTAATTAAGTGATATTCAAATATAAAATTACGAAACTAGCACGCCCAAAGTTTACCGCAACTCAAAAGAAATGAGCGCTACACCCCAATTCGTCTCGCTTATGCAGGTGCAGTTAAATCCCCAATAAATCATCACCTGAAGCTGATATCTTTTCTGGGCGAAAATGCTAGGTTAAAAAGTATCGTATGTAACAACTCGTATCTGTTCCAAAACGGCAGTGAAAAATTGGCAACTAATTATTAGATGGAGGTAAATTAATGTTTGAAGGTACACAAATACCTAGTTTAGGCATTTGTTGAAAGCTTTTCGAATTTCTCGCAAGACTGGTCGTGATCCTTCATTCTCTAATTTCAAAAAACGGCAAGGATATGATGGGAACTGGTTTTTGTACATTGAAGTGTATTACAGTTTGACGATGGTCCATTAATATTCGAGAATTTGTTCAAAATGTGTCTGAGGCTCTTCTAGAGTTAGCCTTGTTTTTTTTAGGAAATGGACGTAAAACGGCAGGAGTATATGCAATAGAAACCAATTTTTGTAAAATGAATTACGATTTTTGTCAGAAGTAATGTCCCTCGATTATCTCAAGTGTAACACATAATTAATATACCAGATCTCCTGTGAGCTTCTTTTCGAAATGAAGAGAGATTGAAATAAAATTGAACTAAATCACGGAGGAACTGACATATTAGTACCTTTTCTACAGTTGAGCTATCTGAGAGAGGACATTACTTGTGACCACGATAGTACATTTAATGTTGAATAAGGTATATTCAATAGTTTGGGGATTTACTCAAATTTTGTCTAGTGCTTCCGTGAAGTTGGATGAGATTTTTGGGAACCGGGATTTTCGAAAACGGAGGTCAATGAAAACGAGTTTTGGTATACATTTATGCGAAATTTCTCTGATGCTCCCGTAAAGTTAGCTCTTGTTTTTAGGAACCGGACTTTCCCAAAGGAACTTTGGTACAATGAGATACATTGATGTTAGGAACAAATACATTCATTCATTTTCAAGTCCCCTTATATGTGGTGGTTTTATCCGTCCGTCTGTTCCTCGTCTAACTCGAGAACGAAAAGAGATAGCGATGTCAAACTTTTGCCAATCGATTTCTACGAGTTCAGGGATCAATGCTATCAATAACTAGATTAAAAGTCTGGTTTCCGAAGCTGAGTGGCAAAAAATTATCCTATTGAAAATATTATGCGATTCTTCGTATCTTGTTTTCTTTATGTATGGTAAATAGGTAATATTTTTAGCACATTTTTCCAAATTGATTTGTAAAAAGGCTTTAAGTCTCACTTGGGCCGGCTGGCTGGCTGGCAGCGAATGTGGGCCTGTAGAAAGACGAGGAGTGTACGATGTACGTGTACCTACAGATCCGTGTAATTAACAACGTTAGGGACGGGGCTACATAATGTGGGGTCGATAACATCGAGGCGCCATCCCCGAGCGTGATTTACGAACGTGGTGATTTTTCCGTCATCGTCGAGTCGTTTACTTGTAGGTACAGTTAATAGTGATTAGTGAGATAACTGGTATTGCGATAGCATTTACCATTTGGAGAAATTATTTCTACTAAAATGAAAAAGTTGTGTTTCAAAAAGGCTCTTTCAATTTTTTCTTAGTTACCACAAAGATACAATGCAAATAATAATTAATTTACCGAACATATTCATCCCAAGATATGATAGACAAAGTCACTTTCATTAAAACTGGTTCTATAATCAGCGTGTTTTTTTTAAATGTTTTTCTGTTGCCTAAAGGTAAAGATGATTGTGTACAGGGTTTCTCAGTATATTTCGACTCACACTTATTTTCATTAATAAAAAAAAAGTTTTGGTATTTTTTCGTCGACTAAATGCACTAGCTGATAAACGCAGTAAGTATAAAACTTTTATTTGAAACCTTTTTTGTGTTCCCAAAATTAATGAAAATAGGGGAGGGAGGGGGGCAAAACATACTGAGAAAAATTATCGAACAAATTTCCACCCTGAAATGTCACGGGAATGTTCAATTTAAACTTTCGAATCTTTTCAGTCGCCATAAAAATATAGAGAAGTCCGCTTTGCGCGTACTATTCTAATCTAAAGTCCAACTAAGGCCAACCTTCGCCCATCTGTTTCCTGAGAGAAATAATTTTTTTAACAATCTTGGTACTTAAACAAACACATTGGAAATGGGTTGCCTAAATAAATTGAGTCAAGACTACCTTTAATTAAAATTAATGTGTTTAATATTTCTGTCTGCTTCCATCATATGGAGAAAGCGCATGCGCACTCTCTCACATCGATGTGTACACCGCGATCAGAGAAGCAAGTGTAGGTATTGTTTCGTATGATAGAGAAGGACGCAGCGTCTGAACTGAGTTACTAGTGTGTTTGCTCACATCACATTTTCAATTTTAGTCCACGCCGATTGGAAAAGTAGTTTTTAAAAGTTTTAAAAGAGCAGAACCGTGCATGGAATTACACTTTCCTGTGTTCATGTGATTTCAATAAAATTTAAAAGAGAAATTAGTTTTACCACAACTAGTCCAGGAAACGAAGTTTAAAATAGTACAAAATCTAACAATGTTTTCAAAAGCATTGATTTGCATAAAAATTTGAGATTCAGTTCAACTAACCCTCTACGTCAAAATCAATATTATGCCGATGGGCGGTCTTTATTTTTTAAGGATAAAAATTACTCCTTTTCGACAAAACTTATAAAACTACACATTGTGTCCAAGAAAAGAATGTCTATTTTGTGATCTCCGAAACCACACATACGATGATAGTCAAATTAAAGAAAACACGCGCAATTAATTGTTATTATTATGTTTTAAAGAAAACTAGAAAATTCCGATTACTTCCGAAGATATGACAGCAAAACTAAAATTTTCAATTCGTTTCGGGTCGGACAAATCATCAACATTATTTTTTATTTGGCCTGTAAACAAAGTACATACCTACGGTATTGAGGCTGCATTTTTTATTAAGAATATAACGATGTACGGCACCGAAAAAAACAAAAGTAGGAAACTGTTGGTTTCAACAGGATGGTGTACCAGCGCATAGTGCCCTAATCCTGCGAGAATACGTAGCGGACAAATTTTCCTTTTTTCAGTGTCTGAGAATACTTCTTCTCTTCGTTATTCTTCAACTTGAAGAAGAGAAGGGGTAATTAGTATTAGGACAACGCAATACTTGAGAAACTATTTTCATTAGTCTTCCTTATTCGCTTTCTTATATTTCGGTGATTCTGACAATCTGACCCGGCACATTTAAAAGTTAAAGTCCTATTAGGAGAATATAATTCAATAGGAGTTTGTCAATCCTTGTTTAGTTTCACCCTCTTCCGTTTCTAGTTTCTGACCTTGGCCCGTTAACCTATTCATTTCATTTGTTAACCTGTTAATCTAATTTATCCGCCCTCTGACATGTTATCCCAGTTTATCCGGCCTGTTCATTTATTCATCTGATTTGTTATCCGGGTTAGTCATGAATAACAAGGAGAGAATTTTCGGATAAATAACGTATCAATAAAATAACCAGAAAAATCAACCCCTCACTCGATAACCATTAAAAAATACGGATCACATCTTTCGAAAGGGAAACATATTTCTTTTTCCATTTTCGTTTTAATCTTTAATTAAAAAAACAAGCGGAAGAGTATTGGGATAACGGAAAACGCTGTGCAAATGGGTTGCTATTTTATTTATTTACTAGTTTATTGTATTTATTTATTTACAGTTATTTATTTATTTATTGTCCTTCTTTATTACAGAGTGACTTTTTAAAGGTATCCCTGCAGCAGGTCTTAAGTTGTTCTATACTACTCCGGTATTTACCTTACGAATTAGGCAAACTGCTGGAAAACCTGATTCGAAGTAGCCGGTAGAATGCTCGGAACTGATCTACGAAAATTTCTATCTCTGCCATATACGAAAAATTCTTACCTCAGCCCAGGTTCGAACACCCGACCTCCGGCTATGTAGCCCAACGACCCAACTGAGCTACACAGTCGGTTATTTTGACCCCGTTGCGCTTCTGTGATCCCCATACAAGAGTTTTTAGAGAAGTTCGCATCCAAAGAACATAACACGTCGAAAGTATGTGTTATTTTCACCTTTTTCTATTGCTGTTACCTTGGTTCTACAATATTTAGGTGCATATATTCTGTAATATCGCAATTTTTAAATGAGAACATAATAAGTAAAGATGCTGTTTGATACCAAAGTGTTTTCAAGAAAATCTAAAGTCGTGTATCACTAAACTATTTCCTACTTGAACTTTCTTGCGTTTCAGTTTTACAGTTTTTCGTATCAGATAAACACTAGCAACAGAAAACGGGCAAAGGGTAAAACACAACGTTTCTGACCAAAATATCGGTAGAAAATGAAATAGTTTAACAGTATCTCACATGCACATTGACGATCTCTGGTAACTAGAATGTATGGAACATCACAATTTATTGTAAACTAGCAGTCCCGGCGAACTTCGTACCGCCTTTGGGAAATCCAGTACTCTGTTCCCTTGGTAACCTCGGGAAGTCTCTTTAGGAGTACACCTTAACGCCCTCAAAGAATCCTACGTTCTACAGTCAAGTCTCTTTTCGATTGTAAAACATAAAATCCTGTTTTTTGCTGTTCCCGTTCCCGTTGGAATCTCCGAAAGTATTTTACTACATCAGAAACCTTGGCGCACAGTGTAATCTGTACTTCGCGGGAATACGTAATAATTGATACGTATGCCCTTTTTTTTCGCTTCTCGTCGACGGTTTGGATTGTTCTAGAGCCGTAGTAGATCTCGCTTTGGCGCCATCTGCTAGTTATATTGCGATTTGAAATGACGGAAATGGGAAAAATTGTTTTTTTACGTTTTTCCATAAAATTTTTCGGAAAATATCTTTTATACAAACCTTGTCCTGATAATAACTAACACAACAAAATAAGAATTATCAAAGTCGTTCTGAAGCGATCCATTTTTATTTATACAGGGTGTCTTAAATTGAGTAGGATAACGAAAAAAGTTGCAAGATTCGATGGGTTAAATTCAATGGGTTTCGAGATATTAACTTCAACTTCCTTATTTTAAATGGATAGATAGAGCAAAAAATTACAAAATCAGCAATACTAACCACTCGGGTAGTATTTAATTTGGGAATCAACCATGCATTTTTGCCTGGAAGTTCGCAATATGTAGTTACTTATTATAGCAATAATTCCATGGCCGTGTTGATGATTGTGCGAGACAATAAACGAATGAATTTGGTTTCAATCATAATCAGCAATGGAATAATTGCCATAAGACTACATTGTACACTTGGAGGCAAAAATGCAAGATTGATTCACCAATGAAATACTAAGTGCGTTTAGTATCACTGGTTTTTTTTGTAGGTATATCAAGTGACGTAAAAATCCAATATGGTGTCCATTTAAAATAAGGAAGTTGATGTAAATAACTCGAAATTCGCCATTTTGAAAAATTTTGTCTCCGTCCATTGAATTTATTCTATCGAATTTTGCAACTTTTATTTAAACTTGTTTTGATAAAGAGCCGTTGTTATTAAAATATATGAATTTTAAAAATAGCGATATTCACTTTTTTTCTAATTATCTACGAAACGAATTATTTTTTTCAAAATATTTTAACGGAATATCCATCAGCACCGAATCTGTAAGTATAATAACATCAAAGATAGCCATCTTATCCTACTCAATTTAAGACAACCTGTATAATATATAGTTATGTCACAGTTACCAATAATCACCATTGCTCCCGATTTCTAGGTTAAGTAATGTACAACAAGATGGATTAGATCTAGGATTAGATCACATTGAATTTGCAATTAAGGTTCGCCGTCCGGGAAAACTACCCATTGTAATGGAAAGCTTTCTCTTGTAATCGGTAGTTATCTTCCAAATCTGGAAGGTAATTTACGAATCTACGCAATAAAACAAAAGTAACGTAGAAAGAAACGGTAATGCTATTTTAAACAAAAGAAAATACTGGGGTGGTCACAAATTATTTAATGAAAAGGAATCTAGGAAATTGATGGCTTACTTTTGAAAAAGCACTCTAAGAATGTTGATGAACAAGTTAATATGAGGCGTCCACAGTAGCGTTTGTATGGTAACTTTTATAAACGAGCTTTGCGGCACCCTGTTGAGAAAGCTTATGCAAAGCTGGGTTAAGTGGTAGCATTCGTACTGTCTCATATGACAGAATAATCCCGCAGTGATTCGTTGACATGACGTGACCGGCTGGATGCATGTCACGTATCGTAGATATACACAGCAAACACCGCTGTCTTGTTATACCAAACACCATCCTTTATCAAGAAAAATTTAAATTTTAATATCTCCTTATTAATTACATCTTGACATGAGCTGCTCGACTCGCGAACAACCCAAGAGCGTTAGACAAGTTTGACAATGTAATGCGCGTACTTCCATTCCACGTTAATTAACTCGATAAGAATAATTATCTTTGTTTTAGTTCCATGCCTGGAGGACTAAGTAGCAGCTGTTTGCAACAACGCGATCCAAGCGGTTATCCCTATATGTTCCACGATCCACTGCACTCGTTAAGTTCTTCGTATAATTCAAGAGCGGCGGCGGCATGCAATTCGGCCGTTCCGCAACCATCGTCGCATCCATCGTACGCGGCGGCCGCCCCCACGTCTGCCGTTCCCGTTTCAACAGGTACAGGTAAGCGAACGATTTAATTTTTACCATTTCAACGTCGAATTTATTCAAACGGAAACCGAAGCGCGCGTCTAGAAATTTTCCCTTTACCGTAAATTTCATTGTCATTGATCAATTTAAAGTGTCTGCGAAGGGTGGTTTCCAATTCTCGGCTCGGCGAGCGCTCAATAATGTGCGAACAAAATCGAGGAGGGGGTAGTTTGTACTGGTTGCAAGGTTCGTTTGTTGCCGCGTCTCTTGAGGAAAGCTTTAACTTTTACCTATACGCTGTATGCAAATTCATTATACGCTTTCCTTTCTGATTTCCCTTTCAGGTGTTATATCGGCGGGAGTTTCCGTTCCGGTACAAATTCCAAGTCAGACGCCCGACTTAACGTCAAACCTGGCGTCGAACTACTGGCCTCGGATTCAGTGATCTCAACTTTTCGGATTTCCTCCGCCCAGATTTTTGGTGCATCAGGACAATCCGAACTTCCAAAACCCAATAACACCTCCAACGGCGACGGCACCGAACCCTGATCAGGAATCGTCATAAAGTAAGGCTGCAGGCACAGTGTGAGTGTAGTGTTTTTGGATTTAGTACTCGGATTGCAGGGTAAACATGTGTACGATTGTATATAGTGTACAGGTGTATTGAAAGTTTTAGTAATTGTGTTCGTGTAGGGAGTGTCTTGAATAGCTGTCATTTTTATAGATGTAAAAATGTTCTCAAGAACGGTATTGAATACCTTCGCAATAACAAATTTCAAATCAATTGTGAAGCAATAACCAGATTATTAGATTTAGTTTATTGATGGCACATGAAGACAATGCCTAAATTTTAACGTGCTATAAACGCACCTCGGTTACAATTGAGTTTTCTACCTTTCAATATTTTCATCGGTGGCGCACCTTCAAATATATTTATAATAAATTAATTAGTGATAATCCTTTAAAAATGCAATAGTCAAAAAACGGGATAGAGTATGAAATAGATACTTGATTTACATTGCTCCATTTGTTCATGTAGCTAACAATATACTTAATAATAAATGTTGTAACAATTTTTATTGCTGTGATTATGTTTAAACGATTATATATTAAACAATTACGTAGTCTAGTTAGTTGCTGTTTTAAGTGTGTATTATAGTAGTATATGCACTTGTGGATAAATAAAAAGATAAGTGAATTCCTTACGATCATTTCACTTGCCTATAATCAATTGTGGGAACATCTCGATTTTCGCTGAGAACGAGATATCACAGGAAACAGAGTCGATGGCAGTTTGAATAAACAAAAGGTAAGTGTTTGTTTGTATGGATGGTTCGCCTTTGTGGTTTAAAATGAATGTAGGGCATTATTAGGTAAAAATGCAAACCTATTGCCTGAATTTTCAAAATTATCTGTTAGGTTTTATTTTCGTGTACTTTGAACATTTTATATTTAAGAAAGTGTTCGTTAACGAGTAAATATAAATATAAGTAAATGGATTGGGTTTCAATAACAAAATATTTGATAACATTTTGCTTATGCGATAAGTGCTTTATCAAATTCGTAATAAAAGGCCGCCAGATTCTCTGTAGATTTGACGCCGTTGGACGTTCTATTACGGCCGACGCTCCGTTACGATCGTGGACGACGTAAATTTTTCATCACCGTATACAAAGTTATGTGCGACGTCGCAGTTTTACAAATTTAATGAATGCGTAAACAATTAATATAGCAAGCGAGCTCCTGGGTATGACTATAGCGACGAACTTTGGGCTCGCGCACAATGGATACTTGGCCTGTAGTTATCGGGAAAATATAAGATGGGCATCGTACTTCCCGTCTTTTAAGCGCGCTCATTTTGATATGGCCCTGGACGCCGTCTGTTGGTTTCTCTACAACTCATTAACGTCATTCATTAACCATCCTTACACAATTAAACGCATTCAAAGTTCATTCATTCAATCAACACCTAGTCTAATTGGAATTTTTCGGTGCAACGACTGTTGTCGTTATCTACACCCCGGAATGTCTGCAAGACTGATAACGTGTAAACAACTCGATTTGGAACTCGTTTCTATCCCGGTTTTCGCTTATTATGGCAATCTAATGTTTAATAGTTAATTAACGGCGCTGAAATATCAAAATATTAATTGACTGTAAGAATAATTTAAATATTCCTACCGCAACTGATACATTCATTAAAACTTACGTGTGTTAGCGGCGATGAAATAAACAATTACACAAAAAATACAACTCACCTCGCAACTCATTCTCGAGCAAATAATTAAATTCCGCGTTCACAAGTTAAAATATCTTACTTTTCAATATAACAGAAGACCAACCACGTATTCACCAAATCCAATTTTAACGTACCTAGCCTTTAAGGACTCCAACGTCACCCATGATTATCAGGGATTTTTTTTATGAATAAAAAAAGGAAAAAGAAAAGTCCACTACTTTGCAACGTTGTTGTCGGCACTAGCGTTGGGCAAAAAAATCGATTAATCGATTATAATTAAATGAAAATCGATCATCGGGTTTGATTATTCTTTTAAATTAATCGATTATTTGAATAATCGACTATCTGATTGATCGATTATTGGATTAATCGAGTATGGTGAGTTGTGGTGGGATGATGCGATTAATCGATTATTTGATTAATCGGTATAGTTTGTAATCGCCAACCCCTAATCGTCAGAACGTGTTTTTAGTAAGGGAGGCTCTTGTGTAACTGATAATAGGGCTGGCCTTACTCCAGATCATGCAGAACAATTAATTTTTATCGCCTGTAATTCAGGTTACGTTACATAGATTGCCTAATAATAAGTGTATATATTTTTCAATAAACAATATATTTTTATGGTACATTATAAAAAAATGTAATTTTTATTCTACCAAATCGTAGTCGTAAGACATGAATGTCGAGACGAATGCAATAAGTGCATAATGGTAGGTATTACATATAAGAAAAACAAAAAAAAATAACTAAAAACAAATAATAAATCATCATCATTATAAACAGTGACAGATGTAGACAATTTACTGTTTAGTCACAATGAATAAATAAAAAATTATTTAAAGCACTAGAAGTGTATTGAACTCAAGGTACACACTACCCAAACTAACATAAGTTTTGACAAATAAATCAAACGTTCAAGTAATTTAATTAAGACCTATTCTTCAAAACTATCCCACACCTAAACGTACAGTAAGCCTAATGATTTATTGTTAGGTGATTACTGATTAATGAAGAGAATGATTAGGAAACGAACGTATTAAAGAGAACAAACAGATATTTCATTACTCCTTGTATGTGACAATTGATTATACGGTTAATCTAAATCGCTTATTTGGCAATAGAATATTTGATTAATCGATTATTTAATTAACCCATCATTTGATTAATCGATTTTTTTTATGAATCGATTATTTGATTAATCGATTATTTGAGTAATCGATTATTTGGTTAATCGATTGTTTGATTATTCGATTAATCGATTATTTGAGTAATCGATTATTTGATTAATCCATTATCTGATTAATCGACTACTTGATTAATCAAGTGCTTGATTAATCGATTATTTGATTAATCGATTAATCGGTATAATCGATTATTTTTAATAATCGATTATTCAAACTTGTAATCGCCCACCCCTAGTCGGCACAATTCAATAAAATTTCTATGTGCCTATTTTTTTAGTCTAGGTTTAAACATCATATTATAGATATAGGTGTCAAATAAAAGTTCAAACATATGAACTCTCTCCACGCTCCACCCCAAAAATCTAAGAAAAGCTAAGGGACAAGTTTTGTTTAACCGAAATAATTGGGTTATAATCATGGTAGGTATATATATCGATGTTTACCTTCTTGGTAGATGATTCAAGGGGGATCTTCTTACACATAAGGATGTAAAGGCCGCTTAGAACACATTCAAGATGCACGCTACATAATACAAGAACAATCAAGCTCTTAGAGAAATTCTCCGAAAGATTGCATTTTCCCTTTGTACGACACTCCATTTCCGAGATATCCACAACTTAAGTTTTCTTGTCGCCAAAAGATATACCTCGTCTAGACGTTCCAACCGCCCTTTGAGGGTATTCTTTTCCGACACTCCGTTCTGCATATATTTGCACTGCACGTTTTAACATCATCAGTAGATGTGTCTCGTCCAGACGTTCCACTTGTCCTTTATGAGTGCCCTTGTCCGACTCTTTTTCGACCATACCAATAGATATATTGTCTTATCCAGATGATTCATTTGGCCTTTGTGAGTACTCTCCCCCGACACGTCGTTTTCAAGATACCCTCTCTTAAAGTTTTAACATCAGCAACTATTATTAGGGGTCGTGGTTGGTAGAAATAAATTCCTTGCGTTGCTACCTGTTGTTAGAGCAACCCCCACAACCCTCCATTGTGATAAGGAGTAAGGGTGAAGGGCGGGTGTTGGCGGCAACAGTTCCTTTTGTTCATGAAAGATAAAACAAATGTGTATATTATTTTAATAGTCAATTACAGGGGTGGTAATTTTCGTGATACGACACATTTTTGTTTCTTTAATAGAAAACTCCCACTCTCCCCTTTCTTCGACTAACAGTGTCGATACAGAGTGCATTCGAAAAAAGGCAAGGTACCGCGTTCCACCCTGGAACTACATAGTGGAACCCTACAACAATTTTTTCTAACAATTGTGGCGATGATTTTTGGAAATCAACGAATCGTGGAATTTTTTAGTTGACTTTCCAAACTATAATAGGCTCTTCACACTGAGTAATACAAATGATTCATTTTGGTCAAATAGAAGAAAAACGTTCACGGTGGCGCATCAGTGGTCGCGGTGGCGACTGCTCTTCGGGAGCTTGTGGGCTCGAATCTCGCTGCCGACTGCCTCCGGTACCCCTCGGGCGAGAAACAAAACACGTTGACCTTTTCCTTTTCTTTTCCGCACTTTAAAGAATCGATCGGTGCTACCTGATTTGCAAAACCCTTTTTATGTTGGCTTGAAAACAAGCTCCAACGCCAAAAGCTGATTTATCGGATTTCGACATATTTTTTTAAATGTAGGTCTTTCCGAGAGCTTTCCGTTCGCCTATAGAGTTACATTTTGGAAATTATTCCATTTGAAAAATAAGACAATTCTTAGGAATTGAAATAAAACCCAGTCCGCCGATTTGCTAGAATCATCCGGACAATTGCTGGAAAAGGTTCCATTATCTGTAAAAAAAATTGAGGATGCGCTGGGTCACCCAGGTTGCGTGTAAGGTTTTTTTATATTGTTTTGTTATCAAAAGAAATGATCAAATGCAGATTTTCAAAAGGATCGGATGCATTTTTCTTAGTAATATCAAATTGTTAATTTTCGGGATTACTTTTCATATTTTTCCGTAAAACACAATAAAACAATAACACAACAAAGCGGTAAATACGGTGCGGTAATAAACTTAATGCAAAATAAATTTACGGAAAAGTATCAAAAATTGGTACGGTACTTACAAATGTCACTAGGCAAAAGATCTTCCGTTTCGGTTTAAACACCAAAAGTAAAAAGATCGATGATATTACGACACGGTTGCCAAAGTAAATTTACGGAAAAGCTGAAAAATAAGTGTATTTACAAACGTAACGAAGATGCAAAAGACAAAAAGATGATTTTGGTTAAAACTCCAAAGGCAAAAGTCCCCTCCAAACAACACTTAACCTTTTTATAAGAATGCTGGCTATTTCATGGAGGGATCGACGGTTTTCCAGTCGATACAGTGTATTCGGTTATCTACATCCAAAAATTAAAACTTCATTAATTAATTGTACGGGCTGGGGACGTCCTAAAAATCTGTAATTGGTATTATATATTACGACTTAATCGGATGCTGTTTACTACTTCTCATTTAATCAGTTACCGCTAATTACACATACTAAATTTGCCGGATAATATTCCTGAATTCATAATTCTAATTAACCCCCATCGATTCTTGGAATTTTCCAGTTCAGATAAAAGATACTTATCCTTGCAGTTTTAATGCTCGTTTTAAATTAACATAGGAAACTAAAACCTGCTAATAATGACAAAAGCTTTTGGGCGCAACAAAGGTAATTGAAATATTTTGACGGGAACGGTTGCAAACGGCAAACAGGTTTTGTTTACGGGAACGGCGGCTGAAACACTCTGGTTACAAACTCCAACGAATGCACGACGTTAAATGAATGAGTCGTGATCTTAGTTTATTAATTTTCCCCTTTGGGAGTGTGCTCTACGACAGCTCCAGGGGCATTAATTAAGTTTCCTCTCTCTTAAAACCTGCTAACCACCCGTTGACACATCAGCAAAGCTTAATTCAATTGGGAAATTATCGAATTAAAAATAATAAAAGTTTGGAATACCCAGCTACCTAATAGAACTGCCTAGCTCCCCGGCCAAATATAACTCTACAAATATTAAAAAAGTCAACCACCATTGAAAGGCTCCCGTTACACCCTTATCTATGCAAATAATAACTGAAATACTTCCACTACAATGTCATATTGAAAATTAACAGTTGAATATTGTGTGAGGTGCTTTTGCGTCATTTCGTCTACTAATATGTTTCTTTGACACGCCATTTACTTTACATGAAAAATGACGTGTTGGCTCGAATTACAATATCTGGGGGTTGTTTTCTGAGACAATAAACAGCGGAAGATGTAATGCTTATTAGGGTAGTCATTATGGTGTGACATAAATATAAATAAATGGGCCCAGTTTTATTCCCTAAACTTCAAATATTTTTTAATTACCTCATTGTTGTAATGGACCCAGTATAAGATTCTTCTACCTACCATTATTAGTACCTTATTTAGTGCTAAAGACAGAAGATTTTTTCATTTTCAAGCTGCTCACAAATTGGCGTTTCACCCGAATCAACATGTAACAGCTGAAATAATTTAAATGGAGACTTCAATGTAAGAATGCCGTTGGTAGGTACCTAACTGTGTAGATTAAAATATAAGGCTAGGGTATAAATACACTTTATTATGAGTACATACAAAAAAGTAGGTGTCTAGCTGTTAAAAATGTAATAACATCATGTGCTACATTAACGGTTAATAATTGATGTGTATTGAAGACTAAGCTTTAAGTCGGCTTAGGTACGACTTTCTTACCAGACGACAAATGGCACAAGTATAAGCCCCATTTCCGTTCCACATCAGGGTTGGGATCGCAAAACTTCATTCCGATAAATCACAGCCAATATGAGTTGCATTGGAACCGTTGCTTGTGCAATCTACGATCTTGATTTCCAGGACCTTTAAGCACCGGTGTTTAATCACAATGTGAACAACCAAAATACATTTCACAATTTCACAGTTACCCAAAATAAAGGTGCTACATTTTAAAGGAGTTGTCTGCTACTATTAAATACTATGTCAGCAATAATTAGCTATGCTAGCACTCTTTAGAATATAAAACGTCACTACTTTAAAAACTGTTGGTCAGTCATAATAATGAAAATGATACTTTATGTGTACGCCCGGCGATTTTCGATATTGTAGTTCAAAGGAGCGTTGCTTAGTAAAGGTGTACGTTCTGCTATATCTGCAACAGCTGCTCGATGTGGTGGAAATGGTGGTTTGCCAACCTGTTGTTTTCTCTGTACGACAACGCCCGATATTACGAGCACCACCCACACCACACCTAATGTAATATCTAGAAAAGACGACAGTGTAGATGCTCCTCAATCGTGAAAAAATTATACCTTTATATTGATATGGCGGATCCAAAATTGCCAAGTTGAAGTTGGTAATAGTTGCGCGTCGTATGTTATTGATAATTACGTAATGGATAGTACCGCCAATATAATGATCTATGGCGATCACTATTGCGGTTGCTCCAATTACACTGCAAGATAAAATGTTGGCAAACACCGTAATAAAAAGCAAGCTCATCATTGTAACGACGATGATGGTAAAGAAAGAACTCCAATAGTTTAGGTCACTTTGGAATAAGCGCAAGTCTCCTGAAACAAAAATCAGAGTTTCTGCCCGCGAAAAGAGACGCCGTACCAAGTCCTGTGTAATAAAGCGCGCATCCTATGATGTACCCCGTAAAAAATACAGGCACAAAAACAGATAATATCGGAATTCCAAATCTCCACCAGAAAAACAGCCAAATACATCCGTAGCAGCATCCAAAAGCTACAGCAAAACCCAAGCTGGCTGCAATCAGAAGCTTAGCTGAAAATATTTTGGGGACGTACACTTACAACTCGCAGAAGGCGCATCTGCAAACGGTGAGGAAACGTACGAAATGAAACTTCCACACACAAAACCAAAGACAAACATTTCAATCTTGAAGAATCTGTGACCAAAGAGGCACATAAAAGCGCCCATAAATAAAATCACCGCGCATATAACTTTCCAAATGACCGACACTAGAACATGCAGTTTTTAAATCGTGAATGAGACTAATGGAGAACTTACCCGGTCCTAAGCAACTCTCATCCCAATTGCTAACGTCGCAGGCGTAAGTCGCCGCCGGTACGTAAGCGGAGCTTGCATTCCCGGACGTGGCGATTATGGCGTATACCGATCCTGTACCGGGATAAGCACTGTAATATCGTCGAAGTGATTTTTGGTATAAAGTATCTGAAACCTAAAGCTGCGTTGCACATATCGCGTTGCCAAACTATGGCACAGACCTTTCTCGCGTACTTCTTTATCCCATCCACGGTCATCATCTTTTGAATGGCATCGAAGTAGGCGTTGATGTCGGAATTGCCCTCCGACAGGTACATGTGGTACATGTCGAGATGGGGGTAGGAGATATCGCAGGAAAAATCGAGGGCGGGCGCCGCGTCGACTTGTATCATGTAATCGTCGTAGGTAAGTACTTGGTATGGCGCATTTTTCGTGTTGTATACCATATTGCAACCTCCCGGAATTGGATCTGTTCGCAAAATGTGCCACATTTGTAACAAAAGTTTCCATGTGAGCATGAAAATGGACTATGGAGCGATTACATTTTGTACTGCTGTCGAGTAAGGTCTTGCTCTGTAGAAGTGGACTAGTTGTCTTGGAACGCTTTGTTCGACAAATACCCAACGGAAAAGAGTCCCTATATACTCTTTATGGAGAGGATTTTTTGTCAAGGTCTTCCAGATTCAATTTATTTTGCTCCCTTTATTTGAAAAGGTGTTCAAACTCAATACTTATGACTAGCCCAGAATAAACCAAATCCGTGCCAAACAACCATGTTCAGCATATTTCGAATCTACCTAATGGTTCGCCTAATCTGATCGATACACTTTTGAGTGTTTCTGAGATATTTGTGAAATACCTTAATACAGGAAGAATACGTAGGCATAAAATAGAAAAATTATTTCACAGCGTGAAAGAGTACGAAATCAAAGAGTGACCATTAGTACTCATTGACGAAATAACTCACTTATTAAAGAGGAGATCATTCAGCTTTGAAAAAATAGGTAGATAGAGTGGCCCACCCATTGAGGAGAGATCGAAAATCACATAATTAAAGATCGATCGAGTTTAGTTGAGCGCTCGGATTATATTTTTTGAATAGCAAGTGCAGTTCGGAAAAAATAGAGTTGTCAAGAAGTTTCTGGCGAGTTTGAAATAACCGGAATAGTTTTATGTTCATGTGTAAAGGATTTATATATTTATATATATATAGTTCCATGAGGAAGCAATTTACAGTGTAAATAAGAAAACTACTTCGGTTATCATTTATAGGGAAGGCAAATACGAAACCAATGTTGTAAAGATTTACGCGATAAGATAAGATAAGTTGCAGTCTTATCGTATTAAATAAATCGCCAGAGATTTCAATAAAATCGTATCAAGTGGCGAAATTACAACTAAAACTGTCGATATTTACCATAATAAATTCAGTTCAATCGACCCTATTGTCGAGACGCAATTATAACAGCAATTAGGTGCAAATGCTTACAGAGGATTTTTTAAGTATATATAATGATTAGAAATTAATTTCCAAAACACCGGAGTATGAGTTGTAATCAAGAAAAAATTCCCATTTGGACTATTACCAGAACAGTGAGAGAAAACATCATATAACGTCTACGTCCGTGAAGTTGGCACCGCCCATTGTTCATATTAATATTATTTGTATGCACATCGTTTGTTTAACTATTTTCATCGTTTGTTTGCATTTCCGTATGTCTTTTTTAAAAATTCCAAATGAGCGAACTAACTTCACGGTGGCTGGCCCAAAATCATAATGTTGTTAAGTTTGCAAGTCATTTGTTTATGGTCTGTGGGCGCGTAAACTTTACTGTCATTATATTATTTTTCATCACGATATGCATCTTTTTAAAAAATGTTAAATGGAAAATTAACTTTATGGTGGTGCAGCGACAATTCGCTTATGAACTCTACAATTGTAGCAGTAGCATGCATGCGGTGATTAGGTAAACGTAAAAGGCTCTAATAAATTAGTCACTGTTCTTCAAACAATTCTCTAATTTTCATATTAAAATGTACGATGGTACTTAGAACTGCCTACCGTTTTAATACAATGCGATAAAAAATGAGTTGCTGTCGAGTCACCTTTGGAATTTTTGTTTACATGGGAAATTGTACCACAGATTGAAATAGTAATAGTTTTTTCCGCTCCCGAACGTTTTTTCCGCTCTCAAAAGTTTTTTCTGCTCCCGAGCGCTTTTTCCGTTCTTGAGCTTTTTTTCCGCGCACGAGCACTTTTCCCAAGCGCTCGAGCACTTTTAGGAGTGTTCGGAACTCACAAGCGGTCTCGCGTTGAAATTATGGATTCTACAGGCCACGTTCTATAAGAAATTTTTTTTCCGGGTCGATCTGAGACAAATTTTTTTTCGGGCCTCAAAAAAAGGCAGTGTATAAACCTTCCCTTTTTACCAAAAATCGACCACACCAAAATTTCTCGGGAAAACACTTTTTCTTATTAATTTTGGTGCGTAGAATCCAAAACAATTCGTACTTTTTCGATCAGACTGCTCAATCAAAAGTTATATACTAGAAACCAATTTCGAAAGAAAATTCAAAGGGCTGTAACTTTTGAACTAGTAGCCATCTTGGAACTGTTTGAAATTATGGATTCTACAGGCCACGTTCTAAAAGAAAATTTTTTTCCCGGGTCGATCTGAGCTTTTTTCATACAATTAGAACGAGCGTCGCTCGAGCGGTTTTTTAGAACACTCGATCCATGATGATTGCTGTTGAATCTCCTTTGGAAGTTCAAGTTAAGTACAATCACAGATTTAAATATACTATTTAAATCTGTGGTACAATTTCCTATGTAAACAAAAATTCCAAAGGTGACTCGACAGCAACTCATTTTTTATCGCATTGTATTAAAACGGTAGGCGGTTCTAAGTACCATCGTACATTTTCATATGAAAATTAGAGAATTGTTTGAAGAACAGTGATTAATTTATTAGATCCTTTTACGTTTACCTAATCACTGCTTACTGCTACAATTGTAGAGTGGTTCATAAGCGAATTTTAGCTGCACCACCATAAAGTTAATTTTTTAAAAAGATGCATATGGTGATGAAAAATATTATAATGACAGTAAAGTTTACGCGCCCACAGACGATAAACAAATGACTTGCAAACTTAACAACATTATGATTTTGGGCCAGCCACCGTGAAGTTGGTTCGCCCATCTGGAATTTTTAAAAAAGACGTACGGAAATGCAAACAAACGATGAAAATAGTTAAACAAACGTAAACAAACGATAAACAAACGACCTGCATCGATAAACAAACAGAATTATGATTTTAGGCGAGCCACCGTGAAGTTAGCTCGCCCACTTTGAATTTTTAAAAAAGACATAGGGAAATGTAAACAAACGATGAAAATAGTTAAACAAACGTAAACAAACGATAAACAAACGATGTGCATACAAATAATATTAATATGAACAATGGGCGGTGCCAACTTCACGGACGTATAACGTCTCTATTATACCATTGAATATCCAGAGGAGTTGGATATTCAATGATTATACTATCCAGCTCTACAACTCATTCTATAAACGAGAATATCGTAGTCCTAGGTTAGTTCTATTTATATCTGATTAAGTGGTCAAAGTAAATATTGGATCCCTTTATGAACTAATGAAAAAATGCCTTTGTATAAAATCTAACGTAAAATTGTTGGATTGTTTCAACTTAAAGGATTCAACCAATTTGAAATGTTGATATCAATAATAATTTGTGCATTTCAGAGCCTTTTGAATTCGGTGCGGATTTAGAATTAACTTTTTTATTCCACAATTTCAATGCAACAATTTGCCAAATTCAAAGGTTCGTTTTCTTGCTGATGTTATCTGGTAATAAATGTGAAATAGAAATCTTTAATGTGTTTATGTATATTGACCATTTCAATTTAAATGACTGTAAAAGTTTCCAACAGTATACTTATTTGCAAAAAATTGCCTTGTACAAAGGGTAGTGCATATGGAAATATTTGAATTTTGAATTAATTTTAATTTAGTCATAGGGTCTTTTGGTGTTTCATTTTGCTGGCAAGTAGAACTTTTGTGGTTAAATTGCAGAGAAGTAAAAAGAAAATGTGTGGAGTAAAATCATTGTGTAACTATAGAATTTTAAACCAATATCAAATTTGTGAAATCCACGAACCAGAAATTTCGATGACCACATTTAACATTCCCTCCTACCCCTATTTTACAAGATAAAAAAATACATACGACCACTTTTTTTACATCAATTAATGAAAATGTTATGGAAAACCGAAATTTCCGATTTGGTTTTTAATTTAATTTTAATTTTAATGAAAACCACTTTCTCATTGCCACTTTTTACGCTTTATAAGGCACCGTTGAGAGATTTTCAATGCAACGTTTTGCTTCGGAGAAATCATCAACGTTAGTTTTTTATGTGCCCTGTAAAAAAGTACACACTGTATTGAGTAGCATATTACAATTTCAACGATATACGGCACACGCAAAAAAAACAAAAGTTGATTTGAACAGGATGGCGCGCCCGCGCACAACACCCTAACCGTGCGAAAATACTCATCCGGAAAATTTCCTGGAAAATAGAAAATTTGTCCGATAGGTATTCTCGAAAGATTAGCGCATTGTGCGCAGAAGCACGGTCCTGTTGAAACCAACAGAGTTGCCAACTTTTTGTGTGTGTGTGTGGTACATCGTTGTATTGTAATAAAAAATGGTACTTAATATAGTGTCATTTTTTTGCGGGCCATATAAAAAACTAAAGTTGATGATTTCTCCGAAACGAATCCTTTTATTGAAAATCTTATAGGCCTTATAGAGCTCAAAAAGTTGCAATGAAAAAATGGTTTCAGTGATCCCCATGATAATTGTACATCCTTATCTTGGACACAGTGTATAATGCTTTCCAATAAAAAAAGTGACCATCTTAGTTGTGTAAATCGACTTTAAATATTGCATCAAAATTACCTTATTTATGAGGCTTCAACATCGCAAAAATATGTACAAAATTTTAGAACTTGTTTCGGTCACTAGGAGACAAATATATTGTGAGATGGATGATCTCACTTGAGTTTATTTAACTCTGAAATTTATCGTAGTATTTGAGTGCTTACTTACTAATTTACAAGCAATATTGTAATGCTTAGAGCTTTGAACCTAAGCCTGGGCTAATCGTGAAATAGTCGCCATAACAGTTATAGAGGGTGTTCCTAAATATGTTGTAAATACGGAAGGGGTTAATTTTTTGACTTATTTTATTCCTATAAACATAGGTCCGCAAACGCTTCGTTACCCGTCGTTACCGATCTACAAAGTGTTAGCATTTCAAGATTTTTGTTTTTTCCTCGGTTTTTTCTATTTACAGTTTTTGAGATATTTGCTCTAATTTGAAATATAAGTTACGCTGAAGGGTTCACATCATTAATGGGTTAAGTGGGAGAACACCTGTTGACGATGTTGGCCCTAGGTGAACTTCGCCCTTTAGATAAAGACGGTATTATTATTGGCCATGGCAATGGTAGTGAGAATATACAGGGTGTTGCTTTTCCAGAAGCCATGTTCTATTTTCAACCTGTGAACTATTTTACTTTTACTGGGGGATACAGTCGCCTGCAGACTGGTATCTTGGATTCACTTGTAACATTGCGTTTTATAAAGCCGTTCACACACGCATACTTCCCGCATACAGTATCCGAGCAGTTTAGAATGCGAAGTGTATTTGACCTAAATTCTGGCGATAGGCTGTATCTCGGATACAGTATCTCGCATACAGCATCCCCGTGTAAAAGAGCTCTAAATGTTAAGTAAATGTAATATATGTCAGGTAGAGCGTCCGTAGTCGTTATTAATTATTGCTAGCCCATAAGCCCACTGGTTCATGCAAAGCTATAATTGCCGGAGCATTACGGTAGGTAGGTACTACACCGCTTTAAAGTAAAATTAAGGCAAAAAGCAACAGAATAACAAAAAAAAATGCGTTGCAATGTACGAACGGTTTTAAACGCATCACCTTTAATTATTGTAAAAAAAGAAAAGTCTACGAAGTAGGTACCTACACAAATGTTCGAAAGTTACCCCCCCCCCCTCTCTTTCGTCATTATTAAATAAGGTATTTTTCCTCCAAAAATAATGGTGGATTGATCTACTGATGCATTAGAATTTCTGTAGTACACACAAAAATTACTTCGCTCATTTCAACATAATGCCATTTACATAAAAGGCAGGAAAGTTTCATGAGAAAAAAGTGCCTTTTTGCTGATATTTTGAAAATGCGCCTGTCAATTTAACCGACCTTGTATCTATTACAATAACGAAGTTAGAATAGTGTCGACTTAAGATTGAAGACCCTGTATACTTGCCTGCACATACGTTCCGCGAGCTTTTTTTTGCTGGCAGGTGATATTGGTTTCAAATTTCTATATGGATATACCATGTAAATATTAAAAAAATTCTTTAAGCCGCTTGTGAGCAAGGGGCAAAGAGTGCACTATCAAATTTGTTTTTCTTTAGTGCACTTTCACTTTCAAAAAATAAAAAGTGCACTTTTGCGCTCCTTATACGATTTTAATAGCCCTTATTTCATGCCTTAACGAGAATACAAACACGAAATAAATTTTTATTACTGATCAAATGATACCAGTACCAAGTCTGTAAGCGGTGTAGTAGCGGAGCCTTTGTGACTCAGACAGACAGACAAGACAAGAGCGCAAAAGTGCACTTTGTATTTTTTGAAAGGAAGAGTGTACTAAAAAACATGAGTGCTAGAAAGGACAAAAAACAAACAGTTTTCACACACATTTGGGAGTTACGCTTCTCCTAATTATGTAAAAGAATAGGAACTAATATTTGCCTAGCTTTTTGGGTAGGTATGCTCTTTCCTTAGATGAAACACTTATTAACGGGAGTGCGAAGAAATCGATTTGACGAAATAATGTGGGAAAATGACTACAATCTTGATCCGACAGGAAAAAATCGTAAGATTTCAATCTGTTCCGAAGCCCACACGTGTCATTAGAAAATTACTCCACTTTTGGGGGGTAGGGGGGCAAGTTTTTAATTCCAAATGAGAACCCACATTTTTTATTACATATCTCGATTCTACTCAAAGGGCATGAAAATTTATTCGAAACATGTTTTTATGGTTTTTTTAAAGTACAGTTACGTAAAATGTTTTTTTATAAACAAACATTATTAGCAAAATTAAAATTAGTTTCTGCGATTGCAGCGCCACTTGTCACCACAACAAACAAATGTTACGAATAAATTCTTCATACTTTACTTTTTTGAGTAGAATCGAGATATGGAATAAAAAATGTAGTGGAGCAATAAAACGACACGTGTTGGAATATGCAACATTGTAAAGCCACAAATCTTACGACCACAAATGAAAATTTGTATATACAAGCTGAATATGGAAATTTATTATCCACATCTGGAAAATGTTGTATGCAAAATCCAGTGGCGGCCCGTGGACTTTGAGTATGGGGGGGAGGCGCGAAGATGTATTTGTATACATTATCAAATACGGCGATGGCAAAAGGAGGGGGTTGAGACCACTTTGCGCCGCGGGGAAAATTTTTTAAAATTTTCAAGGTCACGCGTTTTCCTGGCACTTCTGAATTTCAATTAAAAATTATTTTATACAAAAATATAGACGTTCATAATAGGAATTTTTTCGATATAACGACAATCTCAATCTCGTTCGTGTGAAAATTCGATACAAATCAACGTAACACCGGACACTGCCGAGTTCCAGCCGCTAAAGATGTGCGGCCAAAGGCTAATCTAAATGAACAGACTGAAAGTAGTGCAGTGCGCATGCTACTGTCTGTTGTCATGGCAACGCCGGCCGCGAAATTGATGCGGCCGAGCACGCGCGCCGTGTGCCCTTGAATGACAGCGAGAGCGTGTGGCTGTCGCTGGTCATTGAGTGCATTCAAATAACAAATAAGAAATCTTCAATCTAGTTTATTTTAGTTTTCGTAGAATTTGTTACGATCCGCAATAAGTCTACGATTATTATTACATTAGGATTATAATTAAGTATAGGACATTGAATTAATTCTTGCGAAGTTAAGACAGTGATAAACAAAAAACAAATTCTTTTTTCTTTTTTCTGTGATTTTTTCAGGAGGGGCGCGCGGCCATGCGGCCCTTAGTAGTAGCCGCCCCTGGCAAAATCGTGTCAATTTTCAGGAGAACTTAATGTTTTTTTTAAATGACTTTTACGAAAGCAAAATATAGGTCAAGACCAAAAAAAATAGATGATTATTGATTTCTTTAAACATACTTTTTATTTTCAACTGTGGCCTCGACTGTGGCCCGTGGTGCATATGAAAAATGTTATTTTGGCCCCTTGGAAAAAAAGGTTACCCATGCCTGATGTAAACAGAAACAGCTATATTGTCAGGTTGAAACTGAAATTACAATTCCATATAAAAATACGACAGTTTAAAGGTTTTCCTGTAACAATCGCAGAATATGCCAGCAGAGGGCCGTACTTCCCAAACACAGAATACAAAAACCCATTGTTTTTATATTGCTCTTGTTATACCTACATTTAATAATCGATACTACATTGAGTTTGCGGACAGAGTGGGCTTCTTCTTCGTATAAAATTGAGTTTTCTGAATGTCTATCTAATCTACTGCAGTATATTTTGCCAAAAGTAAAAAGTTGGAGAAAAACTTTCTACGAACGACCATGTGAAGGAACGCGTGATCATCTATCTTGAGGAGCTGGTGAAAAGGGCGAGGGGGGGGGGAAGTCGAAAATAAAATTGTATGTTTCTTTACCATTTTTATTTATTCAAAACAGGAGACTTTTCAAACGACCTTCGTATGTTAATATAGACATTGAAACTCGACCTGTGACCTTGTGAGAGTGTCTAATGTGAACGAAACTTTAGAGCGCTATCTGTTTCTACAAACAGTCTGTCAAATATTGCCTCTCATTTACGTCCACTGGCAAAGTCATAAGCGTAACCGAGTTGAAGGAAAACTTAAACTGCCTTTTGAAGCGCATGCTTCGGTAATTCTTTGAGGGGAAATATAGTTGATTATTTCATTGGGTAGCCACGAATTTGGCTGCATTGTCTTGAAGTAAAATGGGTGTTCAACGCTACAGTTATCCGTACTCACAGCTTTCTATCAGCTCTAGCACCTGCTACTGAATGACTGGCTTTTCTAGTAAAGCCGAGAGTAAAGCTATCAATAAGCTTTCATGCCTTCAAGTGAAACGACTCTATACTCTATAACTGTCATAGATCAGGTACATTCTCAAAAGCAAGAGACGTTGATCCTTTGCGCAACCTTTAGATTAGCGGGTGATCTGACGACACCGACCGCTTTGCAACAAATTCGCCCGACTCAATTTGAGTAAACTATCAGCGGCATTGAAATTATGGCATGTATGCTCATCAAACTTGTGAAGTGGAGATGAGGCATTCGAGTACAACCTCTTATTATATCCATCCCAATAGTCTCTGTGGCAGATTTGCACACTCCCCTATAAGTCCTTCGCCAAATTGTTAGAAACTTTTTTGGCTTTTGCTGATTAGTCTATTCTTAGCATCACTTAGCAAAACTGGTCACAGTTGATAAGGTATTCCTGCACTACTCTTGCCAGTAATTGTATAACAGGAATTAGCACTGTATATTACAATCAGTGACACACTTATGAAATTATTCAGCAGATTTAAACCGTATCACGCTTTATAATTTCAAGATGATAGAAAACGACCCTTCAAACTGTTATTGTAAGCTTCATTACACAGAGAAAATCAAAGCACGAGAATTGGGCTCATGCTGAAGACTTCCAGTTAAGAAAACACAGCACGCAAGACGCTATACTCCGAGCTACAATCAAAATACAATTTCTACATATACTTTGAAATGAGTAAGCAATGTGCATGCAATCACTAAAATACAAACCTTCATCCCCGTACAATATGACAGAGAGTAACACCTGAATGTTGGCCTTATCGACGTAGTTTATGTAATATCGGTACACCTCATCGGAATTCAGCGGAGTTTCGACCATGCCAATATTCGTCCCGACAACGTAAGAACCTAAAGTTGGCGTTTCCGTTTTAGATAACGTAATATTATTAGACTGAAAACTGTGAGCCTGTATGACAAAAAATCGACCGTTAGTCGCATTTGCGACATTTACAACCACATTTCCTTCCGCCAAATACAGTTTATATGTAAATGTCGTGTTCCTCCCATAGTCGGATAGGTCAATTTCGACATGTTGTTCTAAAACTGATCCAAGTGTGCACGTACAGTGAAGTTTTGTTTGTAAACTTACCGTTGAGTAATGCGAACGTACTTTGTAAGGTTAGGTGTAGAACAACAAGACCGTATAAACGATGTAAACGCATATTTCTGGCCTGTTTCGATTAAAACCGGCACACAATTGTTATACATGCGTGTGTAAAGCACTAATTGTTGCACTGCGCTAATTATTAATGACGTCGACCTTAATTTAGTAAACTGACAATGTTTTTGCTCGGTTAGTTGAGGTGCAGGCCGTCAGAGCGACTACAGTCGCAACATGGACGAAGCCGATCAATGAAATATAGTACGGAAGCGTGAAAATCGTGTTTTTATGAGTAGTTCGTTGTTAAGTTGTTTTATTAAGTGTTAATGGGCGATGGGCAAGGACCAGGAGCTGCTCGAAGCAGCTCGGAGCGGAAACGTTGTCGTCGTAGAAAAAATACTCGGCCAAAGGGCTAAAAGGAGTGGCCCTTTAGCGAGGTAAGAAACTTTCAGCTGTTTTCTTACAATTTACGTTTGCTTTATGAATGAAAAGTGGTTCCCCAAGACTATTCTTCAACCCCTCAGGCGGTTTCAGTTATCAGATTGCAATAGTAAATAATAACAAAGATAAGTGAGACTTATTCTCAATTGTTGTAAACTTTAATCAGGTGTTTCAATAAATATGACTCATTTAACACTTTTACATAATCTATTTTTCATAATTATTAGCGGACGTCACAGTTTATACCGCGACCCAATTATAGAAATTGTTTTTAATCACCATAAAAATGTTCATGTGCAAGCGTTTACAAATTAAATGTAATTGGCAGTGAAGTGAAAGTAGTTAATTAGTGACGTTTCAACGAGTTGAATACTTTCTATCCATGCACCTACCTGTACAGGCAATTTTAAAGAGTATTATGCTAATGGAGCAATTTTCGTATCACGTCTAGGTCAAGGACTTTTCACTTGTACCTGTTGGAATGGAAACTCCTTAATTAAGATACCCTACCTTTATTGACAAGCTCGGCTCTGTATTTTACTGCGAAGTTTACAGCCTTTAGGAACAGAATGACAGCTACTTTATCTTTTCACACGTTAATAAACTCTTACTTAATTATAATTAGTCGATGCGGTTTTATTACGCAATGATTTGGTGAGAAAGGACCATGAAATCACAGTCGGCTTTGGTAACTTTCGATTGTTTTTCACGATTAAGGGAGTGACCCAAGAGGCTGTCGACACCGTCCACAAATATAAATTCTGATAAAAGTGTTGATTAAGAGTAACTTCCTTCGAAAGAGAGATAGATAGCGCGTTATCTTTTAAGAATTTTTGGGGTCATAAGACGTGGATTATAGAATAAAATCACCGCATAAATGCAAAACTCGTGTCAGCCTGCTATTTTCGTTATAAAAAGGGCGAAAGGTGTAGGTCAGATGTTGCAAAAGCATTACCATAGACGCGACAGTGTACTCACCAGACTGATACATCCATACTGATAGCTGATAGCCATAGTCAATATCCTGGAGTATTGTTGTATCAGGCGCACTACTACCGTCGATACTCGAGATCTAAACAGACACGTGAACATGACTTGATGCAAAGTAAGGCCGTAAGGGTAAGGAACTTCTGTATGTAATCCAAATTTAGGTTGTATATGTCTACAAGATTTGCATTACGTACCTACACGTACATTTCTGTTCAATGCATCCGTGTGAAATTTGCAGTCACTGATTAGCAATAGATTTAGTATATTTCCAGTGAAGTTAGCAATAACGTTCAAACTATAAATATGGCTAAAAATCCATTCTTGTATTTTTCGTGGGAAAAGACGTCAATGCCTTTGTTGTTAAATTTTGGGATGGACTGGGGAATTTCTTTTCTATGAATGTAGGACTGCCGGTGGATTCAGTCGAGTCTGGGTTTACTTCGCTAACTGAATCTACCCATCTTCGTCAATAATAATGTGTACTGTAGTTCGACATTTGCGATTCCTGAGTGTAGGTGCAGCGTGCAGCACGTGATAATAACCGACAGTGGAGTATTGAATTAAAAACTGTCGTTCGTTTTGGCGCTCGAGACTTGAAAATGACGCTTTTTTTACTGCACTGTGCCGCTCCTTCAATAATTAACTTAAATTGATGTGCCTAACAATTAATATAATGTGCACGTGGAAGTGTTCTTTTGATAACGACTTGAACACAATTTATCTTACCACTCATAAAGGACGCGCCCTCATAACTTGATCCATTCGTCCATTAAACACGTATCGAATAATGAATAACCATGTTTGGTGATGATTAGAGGAGTCTGATGTCGTTTGAAACAATTAAATTTGCAGATTGAGTTTCTTTTAATATATGTCCTGTTTTTTCATTTTTCGGATGTCTGTGAACCCTTTCAAATGTGTTGGAACTTGCAAGGGCTGCGTCTAATTCAGATGCAAAGTTCAATAAGCCTACATAAATATATGGAACGCCGTTTTAGTATTTATACCAACATTTTATCATGTATCATTTTAAATAACAGTCAATCTTATGTCTCTAAATTTTTCGTTTGTTGTTTTTATCTTACGTATTAAGAGATTGATAAAAAAAATGTTGATTAATAAAGATGATACATGAATTAAAATGTTTGTTGATAATTTTAATTAGGCGCTAGTATACACGTAGTCAAATAGACTAAACTGTAATTCCTGAAACTTCCGCACAATCAGAGATACGAATTAAAATTATCAACAATCATTTTAATTAATGTAACATTTTAATTCAACAATCACTTTAAATAATTCTTGCCGATTTTAACAGCATGAATTCATATGATTGTTGAATTAATATGTTCTCTGAAAATATTTGTACAATTTTATTCCAAAATTTTACAATGTGCCATTTTAAATAACAGTCAATCGTATGCCTCTACTTTTTACGTTTATTGTTATTGTCTTACGTATTAAATATGATTGTTTAAAAAATGTTACTTAATAAAAATGTGAAATGAATTATATTGTTATATTGAATGAGTGTATATGAAACTGTATTTCAACAAACAATTAATAACAAACAATTAAATTGAATTGCAAGAAACACTTCGATTAATAAAACGATTTTGTCCAACAAACATAAAAATTCATTCATTTTAAATGTGGAATTAAAATTATCAACAAACATCAGTCATATAAATTCGACGATTTGAAAATTGAAGCCGAATATTTTCAACAATCACTTTAATTCAACAAACAAATAAATTTTTATTGTTAGACGTAGTAAAAGAATCTTTTAAAATGATTGTTGAATTAAAATGTTACATGAATTAAAATCGAGATTAAAATGTTTGTTGATAATTTTAATTAGGCGCTAGCATACACGTACCCAAATACACTAAAGGATAGTTCCTGAAACTTCCGCACAATCACAGATACGAATTAAAATTATCAACAAACATTTTAATTCATGTAACATTTTAATTCAACAATCATTTTAAATAATGCGTTTCGATTTTAACAGCACGAATTAATATGATTGTTGAATTAAAATGATTGTTAGGAATATTTGTACAACACTTCAATAATTGAATTAATATGATTGTTGAATTAAAATGTTTGTTCATAATTTTAATCCCACATTTAATATGAATAAATTTTTTATGTTTGTTGAATTAGTTCTAGTTAGTTATATTCCTGTTCGTTTATGTATTCGTTTGTTGATTTGTATTGTTAAACTTTCGTTATACACATTGCTATATAATTCATACATCATTTCAATTAAGTGAAGTTTTTTAAACAAACATATTTAATGTTTCACATAAAAACAACAAACATAATAAATCGGGAAATAAAATTAACTGTTGTTTATAATGTTACATTGTAAACTTTCGTAATAAAAAGTAAAACGGCGTTCCATATAAATACGTGCACAAAACAAGAATAGATACAACTTTACATACAAAAGTTACACGTGTACTGTGGTGACGATGGCGACACTAAGCTTGATGCCCCAAATACACTTTAAATCGCGTATGGCGAAGATAACCGAAGTCAATCAAATCACACTCGCATTTGGGACACTATAGATTGTGCCCCGAAAGATAGTATTAAGCGTTACCTGCAGAAGGGCGAAAGGAACGTTTAATTTCATCCATTTGAAAATAAACATTTATGTAAAAATATATATAATTCACTGACTGACACGCTAATTTATTTCTACCGTTTACGCGACCGTTTATCTTGGTGGTTAAGTGGGCACCTGTCCTTTGTGCCCTTTAGGTAAATGAACTTCTTCGTCTCCACTTGGAATATCGAACAACAACGAGTAAATTTGGAAATTAATAATTATCAACAAAAATAAAGCTTATCTGTGGTTAAATTTGATTGAAGTTATGAATTGATAAGTGTAGATTTAGCATCAATAGCCAAATTTGATATATTTAGTAATATACAAGGAGTATTTACCGTCAGAAATACATTAGGAATAGACTACTGGGTATCGGCCCAGATTAGTTAACAATTCTTTTTTTTCACGTTAAAACAGCAATTGTTAACTAATTATTAGACTATTATTAAATTAGGAAAAAGCTGTTCAAAACGTACATATTATGGAGTGTAGCTCTATACGGGTGCGAAACCTGTAGGCTAGAAGCATTTGAAATGTGGTGCTATAGAAGGATAATGAGGATTAGCTGGATGGATAGGGTTACAAACCAAGCAGTCTTGGAGCTAGTACAGAAAAATACGGAAATGTGGAAAACCGTACAGAGAAGATGATATAGAATGATAGGGTACGTGGTCAGACACGGAGGATTAGTACAACTAACTATAGAAGGTATGGCAGAGGGCAAGATAGGGGTAGGATGACAGAGCGATACATAGCCCAGGACGCGGAAAGGGTAGTTATGTAGAAGTGAAAAGATTAGCGCAGGATATAGGAAAGGGTGGAGGAGTGCGTCCAACCCGAGGTCCAACCAATCCTAGGATTGTGGACTCCAAGAAGAAGAAGAAGACCCAGTAGATATATCGAGAGATATATTTAGTGTCAAAACACCGCTAAAATGGACCTGTTCGTCTCCACTTCGTATATGTACCATCTCGCGTACCATGTAAGACCACTCGGATCATAAATCGATTGGAAATGACACACGTCACGGTTATTTAAGGAGCGAGTAAAACGCTGTTTTGATTCGGCTGGTAACAATATTTCATTTAGTGCAATTGACTCTCGAATTGACTGCTTTAGCAGCTCTGGAAGTGCGAAACACACGAGGAAATACAAGGGTCAAACGCGAAACCTTGTGGTTCAACAAAATTTGTATTTGCATTTTTTTGGGGTTGCCATTTAACCTTTAGGGCCAGTTGCACAAAGACGGTTTAAACCTCGTTTAGATTAACGCAATGGATTAAGACATATGATTAGTTGAAATTTGACAAAACGTTCAAATTTCAACCAATCTTAGACCGTAATCCGCTGATTAATTCCAAGCAAGGTTTAAACTGCGTTTGTACA